CTTACTTACGCTTTTCGGAACTTTTCTTTTTGCACAATCATTCCTTTTGAGTAAGAATCAGTTGATAACCATATAATATAATAACGCATAACAATATAACAATATAATATAACCAGCTGATATTTTGATTTTCAAGCCTTTTGAGACAACCGCCCTTCACCAGACAGTATGTACTTGATAGGCATCCGAACAAAACCAGTTCAAAGGCAGTAACGGTATCAGTCATGAAGTCTCCCCTCTTAGCCCTCTTGAGGGTTCCTTCGCGGTCCACCACTGACCGAACCCAGCTTCCCAAAAGCAGAGTCAACCGAACAAAAGCAGTACATCCGTAACTGTGAAAATTATATGAGTTTTCCTAAGCCCATTGCACGTTCCTTCGTTGTCTTCGTTTGAAAATGGACCCACTTCCCGTTTGGGGGTGTGCTCAACACGAACTCCTCCCCCTCCACCATCGATGCCGGCTCTAGTGACTTCAAATCTGGTTCCTCTTGGCAAACTTGGTGACTCAGAAAAATGGCCTCAAGGCTACAGTGCGTTGCAAAATCATAGGACACCCCCAAAAATATGAATATCTCGGCTTCTAGAAAAAGCCGTCTATCGCAACTGGTAGAATCAGAACCGCCTCTATAAAAAACCTATACAAACAAGTAGCCAGATCATCCGAATAGTTTTCCGTATTTTTAGACAATTTTTTTTAGTTTTGTAGTCGTTGCAAAATCATAGGACACCCCTCGGAAGTCTCCTTACAGTTGAATTTTTTTATCCATCCAGCAACGATGGTAGCACTTGTCCGGTGTATGGTAATTCTATTAGAGTTACGGTTTGAGTTGCTCCCTTTCCCTCCGCGAGTGAAAGCCAGACTTTTTATACGCGCCTGATGGCTCTACCATGAGCATCGAAGCCATTTTTAGGAGCTCAAAGAAAACCATAGCTTGGTGCTCCAAATTCTCACTACGAATAGAAATAAGACTGCACCAAGATAAAAAATTGTAATTGGATAAGGATGATTTTGTTCTTCGAGGTCACATAATCCTTTCAGAAGTTCTCTGAAGGGATCAGCTGTGACCTCGAAGAACAAAATCATAGCATCGAACAAAATCACCATGTACGGTCAACCTGTGTCAGCTCTACGAAAGAAAGAGGATAGAAATGAAATCCTATAGCAAAATCACTGATATGGACAACTAGCGTAGGGTCCTGCGAAGCGTGCTGCCATGCTCGTTAGGCGTTCTGACTGAAACCAGAGAAGAGAAACTTCAGGTCTGGAACTCAGGATGAGGTTACGCATCACCGCATCTCTAGGAAACGATCACGAAAATTTTGTTGAAGAAATAAGCCGAATCATATTTCT